ACACTCGTCATCATCTTCTACGTGGTAGAGGCATGCTGCAGTTTTATTACTAGTATAGATGTAGCTCGATTGGGTCTACTTGACCGGGGAATGAACACGCTCTCACAGAATACGAGCGTAAAATAGTAGCTCAATGCTTCTGTGTTTCGTATGGTGAGTGTAGAGAACCCGGGCCCCTTTTTACTGGAGACGAGGCATTCCATCTTAGTCCTCACGGGTAACAACGCATCTGCATTTTGATTCTTAATCGAGGATAGATGTAGATGTCTATGGGCCACAGCAAACACTTACCATCAGGTGGACTGTGTGCTCGTTTGTTACCCAATACAAAAAAAAATTATCGTTACAACTATTCACAAATTCACTGCTGAACAAAAGCCTCCCCTAAGAAATGCCGCATAGCATGCTCCTGACTGTGTGCATGTCTTACCATATCGCTACATTTAATAGTGCCTCCTACACTTCCCTTATTGGTACAAACCTGACACTCATCGCTGTCGAGCTATGGCCGGCCCATTTCCACCTTAGCTTACTGATCCGTTGGGCTATACCGGGTGCTCTGTTTTTACTACGGCGACACATTTTGGTATTCACGTTTATATAATAAGAAATACATTTGTCACACTTTTGGACATAGACCTCCTCTGATGAGTAAGCTAGCAAATCCAGAGAGGGTTATGGAGCTAGAAAGAGACTGCTACGCTAATAAGAAAAAAAAACATCTACATCTTTTATTCAAATTTATTCAAGTTATAAACGGTACATTCTATAATATTATTTATGATATTTTATTCTAAAATTGTACGAGATTTGCCTTTTTCGACACTTAAATTCTAAAAATATTACACAACTCACTTTAACCAAGTTAACCTTACACAAGTCACTTCCATAGAAGATTCATATATGAAGGGCACAGGAAAAAAGGAGCTCATTGACAATTTTACCTTTTCAAATTAACTTCACCATTTACTTCGTTTTTCTATGGCCAATCAGAGCACGTTATTTTAAACTTGATAAAAGGGGCTGATTTTGCATAAAGTCCATTGAAAAAAAACTTACTTTAGAATAAAACGCGCTCATTACATTTCATACCAAGTAAAAATGTGTCCATTATCTATTAAACCACGCTAGAACAGGCTGATCGCAGCGGTTGTAACAGAGAAGGCGCTCATAGTCGGCCATCTTAACTTTTTTGCCATACAAGTGACAGCTGTCAGATAAGCTACCTTTCTGAAATTTTACGACGCGGTAGATTGTGCATTAAGTTTTGCTTGTTTATACCAAAATGGACAATAATAGTAATGATTGTGATGAAAATTATGTTTATAAGACTACAAAAAACTCCCAACATACAAACAAACAATACTTATTATAAACGACAGCTATCAGTGTATGCTTTCAATGTGCATATATTATCTTCATCACAAAGCATCTTTTGCCTGTATCCGGAAACGGAAGGTAAAAAAGAAAGCGATGATGTATGCTCACTTGTCCATCACTTCGTCTATAACTACATGAAGCCTACTACAACTCACCTTCAAATACTGGGTTTTTCAACAAGAACTTTGTTTTCTAAAACAAAATAAAACAAAGAGTTTAGATGAAGATGATTCAAATTTTTATTGTATTACGAAGAGAAAAGTTTGGCAATTATGAATGAAAAATGATATCTGGCAAATGTCCACCACGACCACGCTGACAGATGTCGATTCTTTCATCAAAGTTTTTAATCACTTTTTGGCAAAATGGCGAGGCTATTTCGTTAATCACGTCACGGATTTTGAGTTTTAAGGCCGCGATCGATTCGATTGGCTCCGTATAGACTCTGTCTTTAACATAGCCCCACAAAAAATAATCCAATGGTGTTAAATCACACGATCTGGCTTGCCATTTAACAACTGAATTTCGTGAAATTATGCGATCGGGAAATTTGGTTTGCAATAAATTGATCGTTTCGTTTGCTGTGTGACATGTGGCACCGTCCTGTTGAAACTACATGTTTGTGATATCGATGTGGCCAAAATTGAGATGTTAACATCTTGCGATAGCGTGATCCATTGACCGTTACCGCATTTCCAGCCTCATCTTCGAAAAAAAACGGACCAATCACGCCTCCAGACCACATAGCGCACCATACAGTGACACGTTGAGCATGCAAAGGCTTCTCAATAATCGCTTTAGGATTTTCAGAAGCCCAAATGCCGCAATTTTGCTTGTTGACGTACCCTGACAAGTGAAAATGGGCTTCGTCTGAAAAAATGATTTTTTCAGAAAAACCAGCGGGCTGTTCCTGAATGAATTGAGCGAATCTACGGCGATGTGAATGGTCGGTCAGCTTCAATTCCTGCACCAGTTGAACCTTGTAAAGCTTCAAAGCCAAATCCTTACGCAAAATTCGCCATGTGGTGGTTTTGGATAACCCCAATTGTTGAGAACGTCGAGGAATTGACAAATTTGGATCTTCTTCAACACTGTGGCTCACGGCTGCGATGTTTTCGGTTGAACGACCCGGTCGAACACGCGTTGGTGTTGGCACATTTTGTACCGAGCCTGTCGATTCAAATTTAGTGACCAAATTCTTAATAGCAGTCTCGGAAGGACGATTATGTTGTCCGAAAATATCACGAATTTTACGAAAGGTAACTTTAACAGAACCACCATTTTCATAGTGGATTTTAATTATTTTAATGCAATGTTCGAGCGAAATTGAATTAATTGTAGCAATTGCCAAAGCATCTACTACGAATAGGTCAAAAAACTAAATGTCAAAACTGTCATGTTTTTGGTGTTGCCCCAATTGAAAAACAAAGTTCTTGTTGAAAAACCCATATTTTGTGACTCTTGCGGAGGGCAACATAAAAATTTTACTATGTTCCCTTTCTTGCATCACTTAGTGCATAAAGAGAAAAAGTTGGAAAGAATTACTATGACGTCTCCAGTGAGAGACCACTCGTATATGGAGTGCGATAAAAATATGGATTTGGGGAGATCTAAGACCAGAGCAGAACTTCCATCGAATTGGACGGAAATTTTCCAAAATGCCCGCTGTAAGCCGAGTCCATTTGAAGTCACAGAGGTGGACACCTTATTTCAGATCATGAACTAGCCATTTGGACACAATTTGTGCTAAAAAGTCATGTTTCCCTTCACGCCCTATAAAAGTTCTCAAAATTGACAAGTTGAGTACCAAAATAGGCTTCCGCTCTACTTATAATGGGCCTAGGGAGTCTGCTTGCATCAGTAGATGAAAAAAAGAAAACCAGTAATATGAACACTATACAACACAATGAATTCATTTTGCCTGGAAGGTTGTATACAGATAAATTGCCAATTTCTGTTGAAAAATATAGTGACCTTTTGGACTTAAAAAAGTTTTGTTCCCCTGAAAGTATTATATATTACACGAATTTATCCCACAAATAAAATTTCATGCCAATTAATGTGTTTAATTTCATTAGTGTGTAAACAGAAAAAACAGATTATAGATATATTAGACATTGTTTATGATCACCATTTTAGTTGTAAAATGTAAAAAAGGAGATCATTGAGACAATGAGCACCTTCTTGCCAGTTACATTCGGGAGTTAGGCAATTAAAGGTCAAACTATTATTATTTTAGCAACCCAATGTCTTAAAATAATAACCTATTACGTTAAATATACTCTGTTCCTTTTTTATATAATGTACAAATCAAATTCCACTAGAGGTGTAAGTGTAGAAATTGAAATTTTAGGTTTAATCCTTTGATTACTCGAAACAATGAGAATGTTAATGAGCTCTTTTTTTTTCCTGTGCCCTTCATATAGTTTCTTACATTTACTTTAAATGCTTAAATACTTCAGATTTTTCCAAAGCAGTGATTTTTTTTAATAAAAATTACCCGCATTATCCAGATCCGGAACAATTATTTGTAGGCCGAGAGGTAGGAACCGACAAATAAATAAATCCAATGGGAATCGAACTCACAATTCTCACATACAATTGAATTTAAGAAGAGTGTCCCTCCCCTGGGCTACCACGGCTCCATTTGTCATTACAACTATACTAACAAAAAAGTCTGTTTCTGTTCTTTGCGCAGTTTGTGATATTGCAGGCTTTCATCACACCACCTCATTTAGATAACTAAGCCACCTGTAATATTGTAGAAGTGTTTACGTTTTAAACTGTTTATGATGAAAATGCCTATAACCTTGGGCAAGTTTGGACTGGGGCACTGTGACCTGCCAACGATGCTATGGAACGTAGCCGTAATGCTGAGACTTGTTGCACTCGACATTGATCCGAGATATAAGAAACGTATGTAATAATTTTATTCTTCAATCATTATCATCGTAATGACGGTGTAAGAGAATGTATCACTTCAGTTCGTCCCATGGATATTGTTAGTGGCGACAATGGAAAATCTTTGTAATCGTAATGACGGATAACAGAATGTATATAAAAAAGTAAAGTTACAGCTTATATACGTCCCACTGCTGGGCACAGGCCTCCCCTCATTTCTGAGAGGGTTTTAGGGCAAGGAAGTGTCCGCCGCGCTACCCCAATGCATGTTGGCGAACTTCACATGTCTTCGAAATATATTTTTTCTTACCTCGATATGCAGGTTTCCTCACGATGTTTTCCTTCACCGCCAAGCACGTGATAAATCAGCACTTAAAATTGCAGTTAACAATTTCATTGGTGCCGGCGGGGATCGAACCTGGGTTACTCGCGTTCTGTTATATTTACAGCGAGCGTTAATGCAAAATCCAAGGATCATGTATAGTGTTCCTAATCATTACAGAATGTATATGTTTGTGTGAAAAAATAATTCTAAACAATTTCAGCAATTACGACGCCGTCGTACTTAATAGCAATTGTACTGGCGTCTAGCTACTTTTACGTTTACTTGATTTCTATGATGTGGTTCGTATTTGTGAAGTGTCAGGAAACGGGAGACTTGATTTCTGCACTAATAGTGTTCTCACTGGGAGTGGCCAGTGAAATAGGAGTAAGCAAGTATGCATTTATCCTTTTTAATAGGTGAGTATTGCAGCTTTTTTTCTACTTACATTACTGTTATTCTACTAGTAAGTACTATTAATTTACTGATATTTTAATAAGGGTCGATTTTTCGTCTGATTAAAGTTAAACAACAAATAAAATATAAACTGGCAAAATATTAAACAACAACTCCAACAATTTGTACTGTAATATTTAATTTGTTTATATTATATCGTACTTTATATCCTATGAATAACTTTATAATACCACGTAGTGGTGATGTAAGAATATCCATTACATATTATCATCCCGTGGGTATCGTAAGAGACGACGGGGGAAAACAAATCAGGAGATGGGCAGCAGCGTCTTCATCATCATTACAGCCCTTCGCAAGTCCACTGCTGAACATAGGCATGCCTCAGGGAATGCCGCAAGGCACGGTCCTGAGCCACCTGCATCCATTGACTTCCTGCATGTCTTACCAGGTCATCACTCCATCTAGTTGGCGGACGCCCTACACTTTGTTTGTCGGTACGAGGCTACCCACTCGTGAAACTTTTTTCCCCGACGGTTATCGATTCTTCGAGCTATGTGGCTGGACCATTGCCACTACAATTTACTAATCCGTTGGGCTATGTTAGTTAGTCTGGATCTACTGCGGATATCCTCAATCCTAAGTTTATCACGCAGAGAAACTCCGAAAATAGCCCTCTCCATAGCCGGCAGTGAAGGACCACGTATCAGATCCATAGGTCATCACTGGCAACACGTACTGGTTGTACAATTTAATTTTGAGATTTTGAGGTATGCTTGACGAGAAGATGTGTGGTAATCTCTCGAACGCTGCCCAGCCGAGCGTCTACCTACTAACGAATAAAAAAAACTGCTGCTTTCCAGTCGCTTTCCAAGCATGGCAGCTATGACAAATATTCCCTCTATGACAAAATCTATGGGAAGAAGTAGTTCAGCAGTTTTCTCAGTTTATTTCCCTTTGTTAACGGTTTTTCAATAAAAATGCGCTTAAGCTTAAGCCTATGCAATAAGTAAAGTTAACTAATGTTTATTTAAATTTTAGTGCTGAAGTGAGAAACATTGTTGAGAGCTATTTGAATTGTGACAACCTCCCCGCGCTAAACTCTAGATTTACTACCAACTTGGCACGCACTCTAAAAAAAATTAAAAAGCGGGCACTTACATTCTGGTTTGTTATCTACGGCAATTGCTTTGTATACATAATGAAGCCAGTAGTGATGCCGGGACGTCACGTTATGGAGGATTTCTTTATTCTTTATGGTATGATCATTATATATCATAGTTTTTAGTAGATAATTCACCATATTGTTGTGGCGTCGTAAAAGAATCATCCACATCTTTCTGTGAGTGTCTTAAGAGGCGGAATATGGTGGGAATGGGCAGCAGCTACTTCATGTCAACAACTCGAAATTATAAAAAGCGGTTGACGACCCTGCCTGTCTGCGAAACGTGGCAATTATGGCTAATATCCCACCTATAGAGCCATGCTGCAGTTATATTATTAGTATAGTTGTAGCACGAATAGGGGAAGGACCACGCTCTCACAGAATACCGGCGTCAAATATTAGCTTAATGCTGCTGTGTTTCGTATGGTGAGTGTATAGAACCGGAGACCCTTTTTACTGGAAATGAGGCATTCCACCTAATTCCTCACGGATGACAACGCATCTGCATTTTGATTCGTAATCGAGGATAGATATAGATGTCTATGGGCCACAGCAAACACTTACCATCAGGTGGACTGTGTGCTCGTTTGTCACCCTATTTTATATAAAAAAGTTTAGATAGGTTGTAATAAATGATAGAATTTCTTAAATCAGAATTGAACCATTGTGTTCCAGTACGAAGATTTTTAGCGACATCCACATACAGTTATAACAAGTTCACATCTGAACATACGCCTCTCTCAAGGAATGCCACAAACCACGGTCCTGAGTAACATTCATCTATTGTCTTCGTCTTTCTAATTCGTCTCTCCATCCAGTTGGTGGTGCCATACACTTTGTGCTATATAGGCGGCTCTTCGACACTTGAGTATAATATGTTGAATTCAATATGTGGTTACCATCTTCTAATCAGGAACCATTCAATGTTGAATGAAGGCCTCCTCCATCTAGTGCTATTTGTCTTTTTATTTTGCAGTACATGTTTACAGTCTTCCTGCTATTGCTTCCATATCGTTCTTCAGCTTATTAAATCCGTTATAGAAACTCCGAAAAGTATAGAGAGATAGTAATATTGACTAAGTTTTTTTAAGAGATTTAAACTCTTCGGTAAATTAGTACCTACCCACCGTACTATAAAAGGTCTGAAGAGCAAATTTCAAAAATTCTTATTTATATACCCGTAGGTTTGGAACCAATGTTTGAAACTCCCAACTACCAAGTTGCCAGATTTACCCTCACAGCAAGTACAATCTTCCTGGGACATTTGACGACTAACATAACCGCATTTCATATCATAGTAACGGGTTATACAGAAGCTCAAATGCTTGCACTGAGCGATGAGCTTATTTATTTGTGGGAAGATATTAAGAAAGAACATCAAGGTTTACCAGACGACAATCGAAATAAACACGATATACTTAACAAGTCAGTGAAGAAACGACTGAAGGAGATAATAAAACGGCATATAATAAACATTGATCTTCATAACAAAGTGGATAACATATTTCGTGGAGCAATCGCAGTTGAATTCATGTTGTTAGTTTTGGCACTGATTGCCGAATTACTCGGTGGTCTAAAGAATACCTATATGGAAGTGCCCTTTGCTCTAGTGCTGGTAGCAACGGACTGTTGGACGGGACAAAGGGTCGTAAATGCGTGCGATGTTTTTGAGAACTCAGTCTACGATTCGAAATGGGAGAACTTTGACAAATCTAATATGAAAACAATATATCTTATGTACCTAATATCACAGAAAACTTTGAAAATGTCGGCAGGTGGGGTTTTTATGCTGGATCTCGCTTGTTTTATGTCAATCAACAAATTTATTTACTCGACGTACACAACATTAGAATCGACAATGCAATAAAATTGTAATCTTGAGAGAAAGTTAATAAAAATGATATAATGATACAACGAATCTTTTAATTAATATCTTTAAAATGTTGGTTGCGTGCGAGTGTAGAATATTCGTGTGAAATTAAAACAGCAGATGGGCAGCACCATCGTTCCAACCCGCCTGCCAAGCGTGGCTATGTTCACCAGCAAAATTTCAAAGGATGTAATGAGAATGTTATATAGGACACTCGGCTAATGACAAATGGCGCTCTGTAGTTTACTTACAATCTGGTATACTGTTAGATTGCTTATTTCTTATAATAAATTATATAATAATTATTACTTTTTACAAAATTATGACTCGTATAAGTTATACGCAAAGAAGTTTTCCTCTTTCTTAAAAGTATTTTTATCTACCCACTACTATACTGTAAGTTAAAAATCACGCTCCACAAAGTTTACAGTTTCATTCATTAGCCGCTCCGAAATTTCGGATGAGAAAAAAGTTCTATGAGGATGAGAACGTAAAATTATACAAAAGTAGCGCGGCTGCGTTCATGAGCTGTGGCAGCTCTAGTTTAATAAAATAACGATAGACCTTAGTGTAAGGTAGACTCAGAAATGTCAAGCTCGCATGAAAGTCATTTCACTTCTCTTTAAAATGGTCGAGGTTAGCAGGTGGCTACCACATGCGTCATACTTGTGAAAAGGTGCTGCTTTTGGGGAATGGTCTGTTCAAACTTGGTCGTTGTTGTTTTTATTGTTGTTGTTTTTTTTTTGTAGGACAGGGGGCAAACGAGCATACGGCTAACCTGTTGGTAAGTGATTACTGCCCCCTATGAACAACTGGCACACCAGGGGAATTGCAGATGCGTTGCTGGCCTTTTAAAAAGGAGTCGGCTCTTTTTTTGAAGGTCCCTAAGTTGCATCGGTCCGGAAAAATCTCTGGTGGTAGTCGATTCCACAGACGAAGAAGAAAACTTTTTTTAAACCGCACAGTGGTGGACCGCCTGTCATCCAGATGGTATGGACGGTAACGCGAGTTTTGTTACGATGTGCGGTAGTGAAATTGTACGGCTGGAATTAATCCGAACTATTCCTCAGAGCACTTCCCGTGGTAAGTTCATCTATTCGCAGTGCCAGTGAGTCAGGCCGATCGTAAAGCTCGGTCAACGACAATTCGGACAACTCTGCGCTGGATACGATCAAATAGAAGGAGCTGGCGCTAGGGAGCCCCAGCCCAAAGATGGGAACAGTGTTCCAAGTGCGGCTAAACCCTCGCCTTGTAAAGTTGCAGGCTGTGTACCGGCATGAAATACTGCCCCGCTTTACTGAGCACGCCAAGCTTTTTAGAGGCCAATTTAGCCTTCTCTTCCAAGTGACCACGAAACTGAACGTCACTCGATACGTCGACGCCGAGGATGCCGATACTGGCTGAGGCAACAAGGGCTTTTAGCGGTAAACGCGTAGACTTGTGTCTTCTGGGGATTAAACTAGACTAGATTTAGTCGCACCCGTAGACGTTTCCCCGAGAAATATTGGTACGGCCGGAGGATAAAGCATCACCAGTGCCTTTATTTGCATAATAATGAATGTTACCAGTTTGCAACATGTCATTGATATGCAGAAGAAACAAGTTAGTGATAGCACGCAGCCTTGTGGAACACCAGCGTTAATGGGCTTGTAATCGGAACATGCACCGTCTTCTACGATCTTGATGCTCCGATCAGCAAGAAAACTGGTGATCTAATTGCACAATTTCTCGGGAAGCCTGTAGTAAGGAAGCTTCGTAAGAAGTGCTTTGTGCTAAACCCAATCGAAGACCTTAGCTATGTCCAAACTGACGGCCAACGCCTCCCCCTTGGACTCTACTGCCTTCCCCCGTTTATAAGTTAGGTAACCCGGAAGATCAGCACACGAGCAACCGCGACGGAAACCGGTTGCGGTCACTAATCAGCTGGTGATCCTCAAGGTACCGCATGAGCTGACTGTTAATAATGGATTCCATTATTTTAGAGAACAAGGTGATAGGCCTATATTGGGACGAATCAGAGAGGTTCCTTTTTTAGGGATCGGGTGCACGAAGGCTGTCTTCCATGGTTATGAGGCTACGCCTAGGGAGTAGGAGCACCGGAAAAGACACGTTAAAACCGATGCCAACTCCGGAGCACACGTCTTCAGCACAATAGGAGGGATGTTATCAGACCCACTCGACTTGTTGACGTCCAGGGAGAGGAGTGCTCTGTGCATCGAGCGTTGGGTAAACAGCACATCCGGCGGCTTATTCCCCCCGTCTTCAAGAGTCGAGTTGGACGCAAAGAGAGAGCCCAGCAGATCGGCATGGGCCAGAGAGTCGTCCTCCCTGTGCCGAGATAAGAGAGATGGCTGACAGAAGTTCCCTTGGACAGCCTTGGCTAGAGATCAGAATGCACGTGTTCCTAAAGGAAGACGAATTTGTTTCTCGCCGATTCTGCCGATGTGCTCTGACTTTGCCGTGACAATGACACTTTTTTTGTTTAACTTTATTATTATAATTTAAACATATTATTAATAGCTATGCGTCCAGTAGTTCGTGTTGCCAGTGATGACTTATAGATCAGAGACGTGGTCCTTCACTGCTGGCCGTTTGAGGACGCTCAAGGTCAGATGGAGAGGGCTATGCTCGGAGTTTCTCTGCGTGATAGACTCAGAAATGAGGATATCCGATAACCGATAACCGATGGGGAAGAAAGGTTCTGGAGTGGGAGCCTCGTACCGGTAGGCGTAGTGCAGGGCGACCCCCCACTAGATGGAGTGACGACCTGGTAAGACGTGCAGGAAGTCGATGGATGCAGGTGGCTCAGGACCGTGCTTTGTGGCATTACTTGCGGGAGGCCTATGTTCAGCAGTCGACTTGTGAAGGGCTGTAATGATGATGATGATGATGATGATGCGTCCATTCCTTTTAAAATTTTGTTTAGGAATACCATGGAAACCAAAACAGAAACTTTTTTCAATAAATATTATAAATAATGCTTATAGAAAGTCTTTCTTTTGTTTAATTTACCACTGGTTTTGAAAAAGCTTTTGTGCTGAGAAGAATAAGCAAGAAACCCGATGGGACTTTTATTTAAATAACAGCTTTTAATCATATAATATGTCACTCAATTAATAACACAAAACAAATTAAGAATGGCTAGGTAGCGATCACCTCATTCGTTGGGTTATTATCATTTAAAAATACATTATGTTATAATAACCTTTTATATGCAAACTTTGTCGAATAAAGTTTTTGAACTTTGTAGAGGTAAAATTTTGTATATTTTCTGGGATTTTGTTTTAAAATCGTAGATATACATTACTCCAAGGATTAATTACTGACTCGGTGAAGGTAGGTCAGTTCCTAGTATTGTCAAAAATAATATCACTTTTTTTAAAACTACTTTTATTTTATGTACATACATTAATTACATTTTTGTAAATGTATTGGAAGGTCAAAATTAATGTATTAATTTCCTTAATTTTTTGTGGGAGCGACTCGTTAGGTTTAAATTAAATTATTGCTTATAATCGTTCTGTAAGACAATTATAATTTCAGTGTCAATCGCCTGTCCTCATAGCAAAATACCATATGAAATTATGCTATCAAATCAAATAAAATCAAATCACTTTATTTTCAGACAACATAGATCCATAATTGTTAGTAATTAATTCTATTAGTAAGGGGCTTAGTATCATAATAATTTAATTTAAATAATTTACGAATTCGGACATTGTTCGCATATAGCTCCTTAATATAGGTGCATGTGGATCATCTTCTACCGTCCTCAGGATGCTGTTGTATGCTATAGAAATAGCTAAAGTAAATTACTAGTCTAGCTGTTTCATCACTGGTTAGATTTCTAATCTTCTTACAGCATATGCTGCAGAACTAAATCTCCTCGCTAGTTTTAATATATGTGGGCCCAATTGAAGCTTTACGTCTAGTGTAATTCCAAGAAAAATGGTTTATCGACAGGACTCAGCTCCTCTCCATTTAAAATTACATTAATATTTATATGTTTGACATTTAATGACTTCTATATGTCTTCAAATTAATGACTTATATATGCCTGTAAATATTTCTTCAATGCATGGAGAAAATTAAAGAATGCTTAGGTATCTTTTGTGATCTATCTTTTGACTTGTAAAATCTAAATGATTTTTATAAAGTAAATTATTTAAATTAACATTTGACTAAAAACATTTTTCAAAGATTATTAAGCGTTGCCAGTACAAAAATAGGTCTAAAATTGGTGAGGTGTAAAATTCAAAGTAAAATTCGTTGCTCCTTTATCTTGTGAAGGTGGTTACAACAAAATGTGTGGTTATTTCATTGAAAATTTTTCGGAGGCAACTCAAACAAATTGGATTATGTTGAGACGACATTCGCAGCAGATACGATTTCAGAAAAGTATTTGTTTGTCATCTTTTGGAAAGGAACAAAACCAAAGATAAAAAGATAGGTGTGACTAGATACTATAATTATAAAGCAAATATTGGAATAAAATTTTTAAAAGTAATTAGGAGCACGATAAAAAATTTGCAACTAATAAGACGGGAATTGAATGTACTAATAGAGGTTAACTATAATCATTCCCATTGAATCAATGTCGCCCAAACATTGAGCCTATTGCATTGTTTCGAAGACACGATAAAACAATTTGAATCGTATTTTGAAGGTGGGATGGAACTTAGGGTATCACGACTCGCACAGGTTAGGTCAGAAAAAAATGGCGGGGTCGAGTGAGCGAGCGAAGCGAGCGAATAGACCCGCCATCTCCTACGTAGTTATTTTCTATAAACCACTTGGAAGAGGAGCCCCGCCAAGCGGGGCTCCATCGATCAGGCTTCCCTCGACTGCGCTACATTAAGTCGCGTGGTGCTTCCCTCCCGCAACTCTCTCCCGTAGAATATTCTAGGGAAGCCCGGTCGACGGAGCCCCGCTCAGTACACACAGGACTAGTACCGCTCAGTACATACAAGAGCACTACTTCTCAGTGGTTTATAAAA